CCCTTGTCCTGTCACTACAGGACCTGCTAAACAATCTGTCACCATCTTTCTTACAGGCCCCGTTTAAGTGTTGAAGGCTCCTCCATCCCTGCGTGTGGGGCGGTGCGGGCTCACCCCCGCCTGGCGCAGGGAGCGGGGAGCCTGAGCGCGGGGTGTCCGCAGGAACACGGTGGTGGTTGGGATGCCTGCGGCGGTGCCCAGGAGGATGCCGTCCTCAGACGCCTCCTGCAGAAGGAGGAGGGATGCCTGGGTGGGGGAGGCAGGTTGCCAACCTCCGCTGCAGCCCAGCTGCTCGCACCAGGACTCAGAACAGTGTGGCTGGTGGCCACCCCTGAGTGCGTTTGACTCCCTGTCCTAATCCCAGCACACTCACTGCCCTAAACACACCTCAAAGCCACAAGGGTTGTTCTGAGCCTGAGGGGTCCCGGGCTCCTGTCCCCTCACCCTTAGCCCGAGGCTTCCGCTGCGCTGTGCCTGTGCCCTCTGAGGTGCTTGCCACAGCAACGGCCCGTGTCTGCGGGGCTGGTAGGGAGCTGCTTTCCATTCTGCAGTGGGCTGGAGGAAGGAGTCTGGCTGAATGATTGCTGATCACCTATTGTGACTAGATGCTGCTGTTTCAGGAGAGTCAAAGCCTTTCCTACAGTGCCTCGGTGCCATTTGTGGTAAAAAGGCAGAGACTCTTCACTTCTCTCTCTTTTCCCAGGGGTTCGTTTCAGCAGCTCAATCGGTGTCGATGAAGTAAAAGCCCTGGCTGCATTAATGACATACAAATGTGCTGTCGTGGGTAAGTACAAGGGTAAGGACAGAAAGCGCCCGGTGACTTGGGCATGGGATGGGGCCATGATACAGTGACTCAGAAAAGCTCGTTAGATGCTTTGAAAACCAGAAGTGCTCTAGAAGTGCAGGATGTTCCTCTGGGCACGGATGTGTGAGGACAAGGCTTGCTGCTGCTGCAGAATATGCCACTGGCAGTCTGGGATGTTCGTGTTAATCAGGGAGGATCAGGCATTGTGCTTCTCAGATGCAGTGTCTGCGCCTGGGTTGTCATGGATTCGGCTCTGGCTGGTGGTGTTTGTGGCAGGCTCAGGGTCCGTATCCTGTCCTGTCCTCGGCTCCGCTCCGCAGAGGCTGCGTGGCGTTGGAGGGGAGCCCTGTGTGGTGCGGGGAGGCGGTGGCCCCTCGTCTGCATTCACCAACAAGGTCATGATTGCCATGGTCATGCCCTGGGGGAGCAGGTGAGCTGGCAGAGCACATCTGTCTGCCTTACCCTCTCTTTTCCAGATGTTCCTTTTGGTGGTGCCATGGCAGGTGTGAGGATCGATCCGAGGAGATACTCGGTGAGTTCACTCCTCTCCCTCCCCCACCGACAGCCCATAACTCACGCTCCATTTGCACAGCCCTCCCTCTCCAAGCGTATCACAGCGATGCGCTCTGACAAGCCAGGGGAGATGTTTGGAGTGAGTAACACTCACCCAGCGACTGCGACAAGCAGCTCGGGGCAGGGACAGAGGGCTGGTGAACTCTGCTTTATGGGT